TTTTATGTTCTCCAAGTCTGCTACCTCAATTTCTATTCATCTTACCAACATAAACTTTTTTGTTGACTTGGCAGGGTACTATTTAGACATCCAGCTCTTTTAACTTGAGGTGCAAATTTGTTCAAGGATAAGAAAGTTTTATTGATGTTGGGTTATTTATGAACAATTTCAAGTTGTTATTCTTTTATACATTTACCTAAGGCTATAATACTAGAAATGCAGTTGACTATAAATATTTTTTTCACATGTAAGTGATGCTTATTGCTAGACCTAAAAAATGCTTTCCATGCTTCTTGATGGGCATGGAGAAAGGTTAAAACTGTAAAACTTATTTTTTTCTTTAGATAAAAGCTTAAAAGTAAGTTTATTGAACTCTACAATATTTTGTTGTAGATTTAAATGATAAAGTTCCCCAATTTATTTGTGCTCTATTCTGATAAGTTTAACTTTAAGGTTGGAAAATTCTCCACTCTAATAAAGACAGTTATATTTTCTAACAGGATTATTGGCTTATGGAAGGAGTTGCGTGAGTTTAAATTTTAAGAGGGAAATCAGAGTTGGGTTTAATAATTAAATTGTATTTTTTTTTTCTTGGGGATGGGTGTGAAGGGATATATACCAAATGTCCTGTTATCTTTATTATTTAGCATTGCTATTGTATAAAAAATTATATTCAGTATCTGTTGTTTATACATATACATTGGGTGTCTGCATAAGCAATATCCTAAAGACGAAAGACTTTCGAAATGTCGTCCTCTACACTTGTGTTTCTACAACAGGCAGTTACCGTACATTTAACAAGTTTCATTAAGGCGGTATGCAAGTTTCTAACCGCGCCGCGTAACTGTTAGGCTTAGCATTTAGTTTTCTCTTTAGATGTACATTCAACAAAAGAAAAATATATAAAGAATAAAATCTTAAACTAAATAAAAATTAAAATATGTGTAATATTACAAAACTTCAAAATTTAGTGCATATCATTACAATATTACTGAGATGTAAAATATCAACAAAACTAACCAACCATTTTGATTGTTTGAATAGAAACTAGTATAACTCTTGCTGTATTATTTAGCTCTTAGTTTCGAAGGATTTGAGCAGAGTATCGTTATAATTTATTCACAAAATATTTATCTTAGATTATAAAAAAAAACGAAAAAAAATTATGTTAATAAGA